AGACACTATCGAAACACATTGTTTTCTCAAGGCAATTGGAAACAATTGCTGGTCAGCGTTCCAGCAGCTCCACTTAGCCAACCAGACCCGAAAGGAAGAAATAAGAAAATAACAAAAAGGTGAGAAGTGATAATAAACCGTTGCCGCTAAAGCAAAAGAAAAAGAACAATGTTGTTCTTTCGAGTTCATTTCGATGCTATATGCTCCAGAACTGATTTGCTCGATGTTCTCGTTCAATGGGTGCACGGCTATGACCCCAACCCTTGAATGAATGCAAACAAGATGGCCCCCAATGCGAGGTGAAGTGCGGAATCCATACTAGCAATAGACGTGTCTGTCATTTTTTTATTAATTTCAGGAATCATCGCTCTGCGATTACATGAAGAAACCAATGCATGAAGACCCTAGCGCTGAGCTTCTTTTGCGAAGCCTTGGATGATGACGTTTACTAGAAGCCCACATTTCTCTAGAAAGGAAGAGTTGAGCAAATAAAATCACTATAATCAGGACCCTACATGAAGAGAACGCTGAGAAGTAAATATAAAGGCTAATATCTATAGCTTTTTGTTAAGCTTCAGCTGAAATTGTAGTGAAAGATCGCAGCACCAAGATACAGCACTGTTGAGAGATTCTCATAACGAGGGGAGGGAGAGGAGAGGGAGGGGGGGGGGGGCGTACTTCGTCGCTTCTCCCTTAACTGCTGGTTGTCAGCCCGCATGTCGCAAAAATTCCACACAACTACTACTTAGCAGCTGAATTTAATAGTTTGAGCTAGTAGGCGACGATGACCTCCTACTATGTCACTCCGCTCGACAGCAGCTTTTCGAGGAAAAACTAGGAAAATCTCTGGAAAACTGGTAGAAAGTTGGGAAAACTTAGGAAAAATGGTGGGCCATATCATATGAGGAAATTCAGAGGTGGGGTCGTACTGGCACGGCCATTTCCCACCCCACAATGCTGTACCCTGCGTGCTAATAGAAATAGTTCACGCTCTCGTAATTTGCTACATGCTATAAGCTCACCTTGTGTATGAGTTTTTCTATAGAATGTTCTACTCTGTCGTGAGGTATTCGGTTGAAGTAATCAAGAGCGCTTTGGGCGAGTAAGGCACCCTTTTCGAGGCTTGAAGGCCGATATCCATCATCCTTTGGTACGATAATGCGGGTCTAAATTACAATAAAAATGAAATAAATCGAAGACAATTAATTAAGCAAATATGAAAGAAAATCAAAGCTACAAGGGTTTAACGAAGTAGTGCACTCAAGCATAGTTGGGGACAAGAACTGTAGCATCTACTCGCTTTTGACTATGAATAATTACAGGAACATAACGTACCTTGATACAGGGTAGCTGAGTGAATTCTACGCTGTCATTCACAATTTTCTCGAAATTTTCTTGAATAAAAGCATCAACTTTGCTGAGGAGATATGTATCATCGTTAAAGTTCGCTTGCCGCCGAATCCCTGCGAGAAAATGGATTACACAAGAACGGCTGAACCGACTTTGAGGGGCTCGTTTCCTATTCATAGGCTCAACTTACCGATGCAGTTCTTCAAACTAAGGTTGTCCGCTAGAAAATGAGCGCATGCCTTGACGACCGGAGTCATTTGGAGAGCAAAGGCTGTCTTGTAAAGCTCAGCAACCTTTTTCGAACTTATTTCCAAACTGAAATTGTACACGTTGTCTTAAGGAAACGGGAAATTAGCAACTTTTCAAGTATTCTCATGCACCCTGTGTTTCAGAGAACGAACACAAAAAGAAATACCTACGTCTATGAAAAAAGGTACAAAAAGATGAATTAAAGACAGTTATTTGGAGACCTCTGAAAGCGAGGCTGAGTGATGCAGGAAACTTGTAGA